AGCTCGTCGATGGTAACGCAGTAGAGCGGCTCCTGCGCAATGACCGCCGGGTCCACCACAGCCGCTGCTGCACGGTCAGGGGGGAGCAGTGCTGCAGCCACGTCCAGCTGACCGTCCTGCTGGCGCACTCCAAGGGCCTCGTGACGCTTGCGGCGGAACGCTTCCACCTCCGCAGTTAGTGCAGCAATATCAGCCTCTTTCTGCGCTAGGGTGTTGGTGAGTTTCTCGTTTGCGTGCGTTGTACGGTCTATGTTGTCTGAGAGCTGTTGGTTTTTAGATTCAAGTAATCGTACCATGCGTTGTGTGTTTTGATCCTTGGTTTCCTCATCCTTATCGCGTTGCTTTTGTTTACTTTCGTTGGTGCTGAATAATTGTTGGAGTTGTGCATGTTGTTCCTTTTCGAAATCAAGTTGCTCCTGTAGACGCTGAGCACGGTTTTTCTCCCCTGTGTACTCCTCTAGTGTGACACAGTAGAGGGGTCCGTCATCAGCGGGGCGGTCCTCCAGGTTGCGTTGTGTGCGCATGTGCGTTATGCGAGCGTGGTCGAGTTTAAATTCATCAAGTTCTGCACGGAGCCGGTCCTCCAACTCGCGCAGTTTTTCAATGACATTGTTGAGACGAACGATCTCCTGGTTGAGGTCGGCAGTCTTCGTCTTTAAGAGCTCGCGCTCTCGTTGTGCCTCTGCTGCTTGCCTTCTGAACTCCGCGTTGGATTTGGCGATGGTGTGCTGCAGAGAGNGTCTTTAAGAGCTCGCGCTCTCGTTGTGCCTCTGCTGCTTGCCTTCTGAACTCCGCGTTGGATTTGGCGATGGTGTGCTGCAGAGAGCGATTCTCGCTGTGCAGTTTGTCGAGAAGCATTAGCATATCGCCAATCTCGCTTTCATATGCGTCCTTATCAGCCGTCATGTTGAGCACCGACAGCTGTTCAATGAATTCGCAGAAGCGCATACCGTTGTGCTTGCTCTTACTGATTCCCAGAGCATTGCACACCTCCTCAATTGCGAGATCCAAGCCGGTTTTGGGCTCCGCGACATTGCGATGCAGGTACTCAAGCAGCGGGAAAGGGTAGGCGCGCAACGTGGCGTCCACCTGACTGCCCGTCACACTGGTGGGGTGGTGAACGTCAAACGTGGCTGCCAGTCCTGCCGTTTTTACCTGGAATGTTGCGTTGCTTACGTTCCGTAGTGGAACATGGAGGCAGTAGGCCACCTCTGTCGTGAAGGTAGTTAACAACTCCTCGGGTTTGTTGGCGACGAGCAAATCGGCGTCATGCCACGAGAAGTCTGCGGAGTGCCGTGTGGTGACCCCTCTACCTTGTTGTTGCTGTTGTTGCGGCGACGGCAGCTGCCAGTCCCATCGTGCCATAGTGTCGACCGTGTCACGCAACTGCTTTAGGTCCGCCAATGCAGTGCTGTTCGACGGGTGCAGCAATGCTGGCGAGGGGCGTGCCGCATCTGCCACACGCAGGATGAGATCATTGCACAACGCCGTCCGCTTTTCTAGCTCGTCGCTGAACGCCTGGATGCAGCGCAGCTCCGCCACCGTGCCTAGGAGCTCATCCCTGCAGTGATTCAATTCCTGCTGCATCACCACGCGGAGGTTGGCCGCCTCTCTCGCAATAGCCTCTCCCTCCGCTGCCGTCACGACGCACGTAACCGCGTCCACATCGACGGGAACGACTCTGATGAGGGATGATGCAAGAATGACCTCTTCGCCAACCCGGCGTCGCGTAAAGCGAGCGACGGTTGGTGTCGCGGAGGGCGATGTCTTGATTCGCTGCAGCTCCTCACTGAGGTCCCTCTGCTTGGCGCGGCACTCCTTTAACCCGCGCATGCAACTTGCCATCTCGCCCGTAAGGCCGCGGCCCTCCTGTACCCACGTGCCGTGGTCACTGCCGTTGTGTGGGGAAGAGTGCCGCCTGCGCGTGTTCTCATCCGCGTAGAGAAGGCGACGCTGCGCAGATTTTGTCCGTTCATTCACGCGACGCAGCTCCTCAGTGATGACGCTAACGGCAATACTGTTGCTGTGGGCGTCCCACGCCTCGCGTTCCCAGCAGCGAACCACGCAGGTGCGCACACCAGGCAGGTGCTGCTGCACGGTGCCGAGCGCCCAGCTCCACTCCGCCGCCGCGCCGTGGTCAAGCCGCTCAAACGCCACAAGAGTGCCCACAGGTAGCATGTTTTGCTCCTTCTGCGACAACGCCTCCATCCGTCACACGTACAATGCAGATGGGCGCAGGTGTAAGCAGAAGAACCTACTGGATTATCTTCCTCTCTCTCACTCACTTTATATATTTCTCTCTCCCTCTCTCTTGCTCCGTGTGGTTGTACTAATGTATGTATGTGTGTAGCAGAAGTGCGGTATCGTCCCCCTTTTTTTGTGGTTTCCTACACACACGCCTCTTCTTCTTCCTCCTCCACCACACCGCCTCTCTGATTATACGCGTGCGTGTGCGTGTGTGGCCTAGACTGTCCCTCTCCCTCCCGTTGAACGAATACTAGTTCGCGCGCGCGATCGTGAAGTCAATCGACGCTGCGGAACAGGGACCCACACAAGTAATCGGAGTATCAAGGACAATCAACAACACCAGCTGCGTGTATTGTGTTGTGTCCCTGCCTACCCTCTTCTTTTGTGTCTACCCTCTCTTTCTCTTTCCCTCTCTCCCTTGCCGGGTTGATTGGTACGCTAGATTGCCGAGCGGCTACGATGCGACACGGAATGTGTGTTACGCTGAACTAGAATATGTAATGCAGGTGAGGTGCAACGATATATATATATATATATA